TACATAGATCATCTTGGAAGTTGTCAAAAATAGGCTGAGGCACCAGATAAGAACCCCTAAATTCTGGAAAGCCTGGCCCTCTGGCCTAAAACTTTCCTGTCGACTGCTGATTGGAACTATATACTGATCCCGACCGAGACCATTCATCTGACATGCCCAGCATCTGAGACCGCGACCGTCTTGTACCTGTACCAACCACCCAACCCAGAAGCTTGATTCCTCCAGCTTTCAACTTCTTAGTTGAGCAAGTCCGAAATTCAGAGCGATTCTAGAAGTGAACCGGACTCGGGCAGCGATTTGATTATGTGACAATGCAGCAGCGCAGGGGGCGTTACATTTCAATTATGGGGTCACGCCAGAAACAAATGGGAGAAGCGCTCAAGCTTCTTCTGGACCCTCTGGCGCACGCCACGTGCGGGATCATCACCGCCTGGTCCGCGGGCACCTGTTGAAGCGGCCACGAAAGAAGTATCGAAACCCCCTGCTGCATGAGAAGAATTTGAAGACGTGATAAGGGCTCCAGCACCCCTTCCCGTCAACAAGTTCTCCAGCATCGCGCCACGAATTAGATAGAGGTTTGAACTGAGTCCTCATTTGGAGGAAAGCCTTTTGTCATTGAGAAGGGCAGAGCATGTGGGGATGTTTGTAGCTGTGTAACCACGCCAGAGAGCACATGATTATGCAACATGAGCGATGCTAACTTACGTGGATGGACGGGAGATGGTGGGCAGACTGCGGAAGTCTGGATCCACAAGTATGGATGTTACGGGGATCTTCTCACAGTGCTTCACAGGCTTTGGGTTCAGGGCTTCTCGGATTATAGTCAGGAGCCTGACCCCTCCATATGTTCATTGCACCTACGGAGTTCATCGTAACAGAAAGCCTTGTCGTGCTGCTACCTGCATCCGCATGAATAGCAAGTGTTCCAGGTCACGTGCCAGCTTCTCATGATCTTGTAAACTGGCCCACTTTACCGGAAGACATAGTCTGGGCTATTGGGACCCGAAAGCCCATGTCTTATCACACGGATGACTTGCGACAATGATGCATAATGTTGGGTGGCCATGAAATACAGCTATTGTATAGTTGTTACTGGGTGGGGGCAGTACTTCTGGAGTCGCTTGGTCACACCAGATGTTTTGAACATTGGAGCGGATAGTACCCCAATGTTCTGAAAAAGAGGGCAACGCCACCAACCGGTATCCTTCGGACGAGCCCCTTAATAGTATGCTTTATGTTGGGTGCTTTATATTCAGACCCAGGATTTGAGAAATATCCCGACGGTACAGGGGACCTTAGTTTTATCAAGAGATGACTAGACTAGCTAACGCAACGACCCAACAAAAACCGTACAATAAATTCTGAAATTCTCAAAATCAGCCCTAAGGGTCCAAGGACCCAAATAATAGGGTTTTAGGGCCCAAATACTCCAATATTAATGGTACTTGGGCCCTGTGCTGGTAGCTGGAACTACAGGCCACGAGTGCACAATTCAAATCTTTAATAACCTAACTCGGGCCTTCCTGCAGCCATCCCTATGAAATCCCGAGAATCCAAGAACCCATCATTCCTTCATGGGTATTATTTTTCCTTCATGGGTACCATTTTGGGGATCCCCATAATAAGGACTACAGTATATTGGGGTCTATATTGGGGTCCCCCTATTTAGGGAAACTACTATTTCTTTATGTGCGGAATTTCTGGGACAACACGCCTAATTGCAGTAAGATGCCAACCGCGCATTTTTTGTATTGCCGCGACACCTGAAATGAAAGACCCGACGTCCAAGCTGTAACATCCCCCATTCATGGTACATACACTCACTGCACTGATGGCTACCACAATACTTGTTGCGGGGTGTCCAGGACCATAGCAGCACAATCACTCCTAGCAATCCCACACGTCGCCGCAAAGCACTTCCAAATGAATTCCCTTCCTGCATCCATGCCACCGCAACTACTTAAAAACAAACCCTTGGGATGCAAGTATGCAAATCATACCTACATTGGTCCTTAAAGTCTGTAATTATTACCTACATTGCGCTATTTGGACCCCTAAGGAAATAAAGACAAGTTTACGATTATTTTCACACCTCGCGTGTTTGGACAGACGGATCTGCAGGCCCAAGCGCCTGCCCTTTGAGGGCTTGCGGACGCAAACACAGCCGACTTCTCAAAATCAATTTCTCCTTCCTATCATATTCAGCATGTGCAACCTTTTCTTCTTCCTGAAGGGGGTGTTGATTGGGGCTTATATGAGAGACATGTTTATTGCATCGTGAGGCATGTATGTCGACACTCCTGACTACTTAGAAGTAAAATGCATCTACCCAAACCTGCCGACCACCATGAGGGCATGCTTGCAGACTGCGATGAGCGATGCTTACATGCTCTGCATAATATTCTTGTGCAAGGCTGGCTTAGTAGGGGCTATGTGGCTTGACCACTATGATTCATGTGAAAGAATGAGGCCTTCATTCAAATATGTGGTAGTTGGGACCCTCAAAAAGGTACTTCTAATTTTGGGAAACACCCACATGATCATGGAAGAAGGCTGGAACGGCTGCCTGGCAAGTGCAGCTTCGCTGCAAAGGCAGGGTCTTGCTAACTGTGATGGAACGCTCTGCTGTCAGATTTCTGATGCTGAGCAGCTGACGGCATACCGCACTGGTTGAACAATCCTCCTTAAGCTTCTGGAATGTAGTTGCCTACATCATAGTCTATTGTTCGTTACCCTAACTTAAGTGTTGTGGCCTCGTTGTAGCTTCGAGCCTTAATGCGGGCAATTGCAACCTTGAGCCCAAAAAATCAAGTTCCAAAGGAAGTCTGGCAACGTCCTTCCAAGAACGACTCATCTCTCTTATCTATCTGAAAGATGAGCAGCTCGACGTCAAAGCATCATTGCAGGGATGTACAGTGCTTACCGTTCGATCAGTCGATTGGTGACAGTGCGTAGCTTCTCATGTCCTTCTAAACCTGACTTATTACTTGTTTATGAGGCAGCAGCTGTTATGGTGGGCAGAACCAACAGAGTCCCGTGCAGATAAGAACAGCATTCAAAATACAAGGGGAATGGACGCGGACGAACAAGCTCTCAGTCTTCTTGGGAGGGCCTACTTGGCTATACGGCCTGCAGCTGAATGCTCTGAACCACCCTCAGGACAGCAGAGAGAGCGCGATGTTACACAGGAAGCTCATTGAGGTGCAAGGCTTAGATAAGGGTTGCAGACTATCAGATGTTCGTCTTAAGAAGTTCAGCCTAGAGCCCGCAATTAAGCCGGATGCTAGTCTGATTCCAAGAGAAATTCTGATAACAACGCAAAACTACCATGGGAAGGTGGGAGATCACCCGATGAAGGTACGTCTGCGTGAACGTTCAGGCAGCTACAGCTCTTGCTCACGGTGTGTCGACCCATTACTAATCTTCTGATGTTCTTCTCTGCCGTCCCCGGGCAAACGATGAAAGGCAACCAAACCATTGCCGATGACAGAGGCAGTAGAAGATTGATTCATGCAGCAGCTGCTGCTGATTCAAGAGACAGGGTAGGATTCGTTTACGGTCCTCTGAAATGGACAACAAAAGACTACAGTCATCAATAGTTGTGAGAAGCCCTATCCTTTAAAACCCAGAACAAATGCTGCGCCTCTATGCAGCCACAAGTATATAGTCCCCTTTAAGTAGATGGAATATGGCTTTGGGTATATTATAATCCCCATATACCCTACACTCTATTTACTCAAGGGGGCCTATAGGCATAGGAGGGAGGTAGTAGGAAAGGCTGCCGTCCCATGCTCACATATTACCCACCGAGCTCCTGTGACTACTGGAAAACACTAACCTGGACGCCAAGTCACCAGGACCTCAGGAAATTATTATAAGAGTCCATATATCCCTATATAATCCCCAATATACTATAGCAGTTTCCATGTTCTTTTCCACTATCCCGTTTACTTTTTAGATATTTCCAGGTAGTAGGAACCTGTGGCTGAGCAGTGGCAAAGGCCTGTGATAGCATTTTTACAGTGGTAGCAGGGAATTTGGAAGGGTGCGATGACATGTTCGCAAGTTTGTAGGAATCTACTCCACTGACTGCCAGAACTCCCTGATAGCTGGATTCCGCAGTCTGCCAACTGTCAGGACACTTTTAAGTCTAAACGTGGCTCCGTGAGTTCAACACTTGAGAGCCACTTCTTCTGGGTTGCTGTTAAAGGACCTAAATTAAGCTACTATAGTAAGGAAACCCTAATATTTACTATGTACCCATATTATGGTAGTTTACTATGTACCCATATCATGGTAGTTTAACTTAAATTCCTTAACAGCAGCCCAGACGTGCAGTCAACGCTGGCAAGTCCAGCACGGAGCATCCCCTGGCTTCGGATGGGCAAATTGTAGTTTCCCTACATAGGGGGACCCCATTAAGAGCTGTAGTCTAAACTCCTAGTATCCTTCTTAATAAGCCCTATATAATACTCCTCTATATGATCCCCTATTACCCCCCTTTAAGGAGTTTAGACTATAGCTCATATAGCCCCGAAGTACTATAATCCCAATTATTGGGACCCCGAAAACAATATAGGGAAGCCCCCCAAATCTATCCAAAGGCTCTTCTGAAGATGAACGACCGTGCAATACTGGCCTGATTTGACGGCTTCCCAGAAGACAACTGCCTACTCCTAGTATGAAGAATTCCTCTACACGGACGGTATCAAGATCCAGGGAAGCAAGCAGTGCCCCTCGTCAGCCAGGCTTGCACAATCGAGAGGTCTTGCAGTCTCGCTCGATTTGTTTGGGCTTCAGGGGTGGAATGAAACTTCCATGCTGTTCACGCCTTTGTCTTGCTTGCGTCTCTGCATAAAGCCCTAGTCCCCTGCGCTTTTAGCCTACAACTGCTCAGCTTTCTCATGTCTAATGAGAACCTGTGAAACCGTGAAACTCTAGTCTATGAATCCTATATAGCACATCTCATACTTTTGGAAAAATCTTGAAAGACCTCTCATCTATTCCACGGCAAACTCCACAGACCTGACCTTTCCCTCCTGCAGCGACGACACCATGCGGTCGAGAGTGATGCCCTGCTCCATCAGCCTTCCATGCTTTTGGGTATACGGCGGGCCCTAGGGTTACATATGCTGATCAATGGGACTATGAGGGCCCCGGTACAGGATTATGTAGGATGTAGAAACATGCTAACATATCGCAGTGGTCGTGCTGGCCGTAGTCAGAACACTACAGAAAAGAGCTGGGAACGACTGCAATCAAAGTAGTTGTTGCAAGCTCAGTAGCATCAGCACCAGGACAACTTTATCCCACCGGCCGAGCACCCCGCCCCTTCTGAGTGCTTCTTTGAACCAGTGTACCCTTCTAAGTGCTTCTTAGTACACACACCATGAACGGCATACAATTCGTATTGTGAACTGTACATTGCAATCAAAAGAGTCCAAAACATGCCCAAGGCTGACTGAGCGGCATACGCTGAATTGTTAGAGCACGGGCATGGGCGTAGGGCAAGCTCTTGTCCATGGCCTCCGTGGGAAAGTCAGCCTCGAAATCCTTTGCAAAGGCGGCCTGGGTTACTTGATCATTCTGCCCAGAGCCATCGCAGATGCTCTTAATGCGAAGGATCAAGTTGGGACATTTCTTCAGGACCTCCGCAAGCTCCTGAATCACGGTCAGGTTCTCTTCCACCTCCGTTGCATCCCAGGAACGCTGCATTTTCTTCTCAATCGAACTTTGGGACTCGCGCTCTGTCCACTGGTAGTTGCTAAATGCCTCGGTAAGGAACGGTCAGGCCACCGGAGCATGCTCCCTTCGGGATGCTCTAGGGGTAATACTCCAATGGTGGAGAACCAAATGGAAAAGCAAATGGAAAGTGAAATGGAAACAACCCAGCCCTAATTGTTAAAAGCTCTGGTTTTGGTAGGTCTTGATGGGGGTGGAATCTCATGCAGACCATGCAATGTTGTGTCCGACACAGTTTATAAGCTGTCAAGAAGCTGATTTTCGTAGGTAGTGTGTTAGGATGCTATAGAAAATTGCCACAATGAAGAGGTCTCATATGCAGAGCCACTAAGTTGCCTTCTGAGAAGTACGGTTTTTTATGAACACCTACACAAGCCTGTATGATTCATGGCTTAGCGCGATGTGCAAACGCGTCACAATAGGCATGTGGGGGATCGACGATTATAATTACAAATATTGGCGTCTACATTCGGGTCCCCCCATTCATGGAAGCTACCACGTCTTACACCAAACTTCTAGATCCCTTGGGGTCCATGAACCACTAGGCCTATGCACAGTGTAGCGTGGTCTAAAGAGAAGTGGAGTCACAATCTCCTTGCTCGAGGCGATTTTCATAAGCTCTTTCTTGCCTTTCTCGAGCTGCTGTTCCTTCGGAAGCGCCTGCAGGGTTCAGCATCCGTGGTTTGGGGATCAGGGCAAGCCCCGTCCTTTCCAATGTCAGTACCGACAAGATAGTTCCACCATTCTATCAATCGTCAACTAGAAATGCATGGGCATCATGAGCATATTCCCTGATTTCCCCAAGGAAAGGCTTTGAATATCAGAGGGAGGAAGTCCAAAAACCACCAAAAAAAGAGGCCCCAAGAACTTCAAGCCACTTTCTATCCGGGGATGTTTCACAGGTTGATCATGATTTGCGTCCGCCACCTGCTAGAGTCAGACATGTGAGGCACTTGCAAAAGAAGCAGCTGACTCTGCTGTGCCTACAGGATCGAGGAATCATACGTGCCGATTCACCGGGAGCTTGCGGGGATGGAGTCCTTTTTTCTTGTTCCCGGGCCTTGCGCAGGGAGGATGTGAGCAGAAGAAATCCTGTCAAAAGCGATGCCCACCGCAAGGCATAATCCCTTGAGAGTGCCTGACTAGGCCCAATTATATCCACTAGGCTGCCGGGGGATTCTGTCGTCAAGGTCAAACCAATGGGTTGGCATCGCAAGCGCACAATGGCGCGTCTTATAGAAGGAAGAGAGAGAGAGAGATAGAGAGAGAGAGAGAGAGAGAGCCACCAGCAGGCCAACAAAGGGCCGAGAAAGCCTGTCTCTGCAGATATGTTGTCTGGAAGCTCTTTATCCCTAAATGCGGGCTTCTATAAACTTGTGAAGGCTCAAAAAATCCTGAACCTCAACCAAGACTTTACTCCACACAGCCCTCTCGCAGCCTCCGCCATTCTTTCGTACTCTTGTACAGCTTTCGTCCACTCGTCATGGATCTCTGTCAGCCGCGCCTCGCCTGGGCAAACCGAGGCGTTTGTAGGATTTAGGGGGTGTCCAGAAGATTAGGGGGTGCGGTAGGGAAGAGGGAGTATACGTTTCTGGTTTAGACCCTTACCCCACGGCCCTGAAAACCAACGCCTCTGCAACCCTCACCCCGTGAGACTGTAGAAATAGATTCAACGTTGCACTACATGCAGGCAGTACCCAATCTAAGGAAGAGCGCCTCACAAAAGGATTGACAGTCCTGCGAGGTACATCTTAAAGACTACACAGCGCGCAGGATGTTCCGAAGAAAATGGCTTTCCTGAATTGGCCCCGGTCCTGTTCCGCAACACCTTGTTTGCGGACCTGTGAGTTTATGTGTTTTTGTTGGCATCTACCCTCGCCAAACTAACATGGAACTCCGTACAGCCCTTGAAAAAAAAGAGACATCTTTGTTTGTCCCTTTACTGGGTTCCGTCTGAATCCGCTCAGCTAATGTCGAGGTAAGAGTGTTTATCTTTTTGTTGTCTGGTCTTTTTTGTTGTTTGGGCTTTTCGGGTGTTATTTTTTTTGCTGTTTG